GAATGTGAAGTTTTCCTAAAGGTTCTGCAGCCTCTCAAGGATAAATACATACGTCTCCGTACCGATCTGCGAGACTCTACTAAACCTGCTCATGACTCGTGAGACCTAGTAACCTAGGCTCTGATACCAACTTGTCACGACCCAAACCCCCGCACTGGTCGTGATGGCGCCTCTCGTGAAGACAAGGCCAGCCAACTAACCCAACTCGTCTCTTTCAAGAAAATGGTTAAGCATAAATGAACAGCAAAAATATGACTGATGAAAACAAATAGGACGAAATATGACTGATGAAAACTAATCGAGGTGTCACAAGTCACAACCAACTATGAGAATATAACTACCACTACAAGTCTGAAATATACAAATAGGACTGATGAAAACAAAGGACGAAATGTGGTGCTGCGAACGCTGGCAGTCGCCTCGCTAAACTCCAATAACTAAGTCTCTGATCAGCTCAAAACCCGCTACCGGGGAAAACAAATACCTATATCTACACGCGAGGTGCAGGGAGTAAAGTGAGTACTCCAACCTAGTAAGTAATAAGAGTAAATAAAGGCTGAGCAGTAGGAAATAATGAATCCACATTCACGTTAGGCTCAATAAACACAACAGGCTTTCAAATCATAATACGAGTCAACCTTCCCTTTTAAAATCCAACTTTTAGTAAAAATCATTTTGAAATACCTTTCAGTAGGAGTTCAATACTATTTAAAAGAATAATAGCGATTAAAGCCATAATCGGCCCCTCGGGCAAAGCATAGTTCGTAAAACAGCCCCTCGGGCAAAAACAGTAATCATAAACACTTCATAACTTAAAAATCTCGGTGGAAATAACTAAATGTCAAATCAGTGATTAATTTCTAAACATCTCATAAACCCCAGTTTATATAAAGGTTGTTTTAAAACATTTGCTCTACTTTCCGACAGAGGCTCAATATAAAGAAGAGTGAAAATAGTCGATACATCAACATATTCGATAGAAACTCACTAAAAAGGGAAGTGAAATCAACAAGTTCATAAACAGACCTCTCAGGCAAACATCACTCATATGCATGTATATAATTATCGCCCCTCGGGCTAGCCTCTCTATCACTCGTGACTCAACTCTTACAAATCAGAACTCGTACTCAGCATTCACACTCAATAGGTACCATATAGCAACCGCTGCGGCGTGCAGCCCGATCCATATATCGCTGCGGCGTGCAGCCCGATCCATATAAGTATCACTGCGGCGTGCAGCCCGATCCATATGGGTACCCGCGCTCACTGTGGGGGTGCAGACTCCAGAGGGGCTCCTACAGCCCAAGCACAATATTACAGCGGCGTGCAGCCCGATCCATATAAGTATCGCTGTGGCGTGCAGCCCGATCCATAGACACATACATATATATATATATATATATATACACACACACACACACACATTGCTGCGGCGTGCAACCCGATCCATAGGTATAATCCTCACAACTGGCCCTCGGCCTCTCTAAGTCATTAACCTCACCATCAGACTCTCAGTCTATCTCAATCATCAATCTCACAATCAGACCCTCGGTCTATCTCAGTCATCGTCTCACGATTGCTCGGACCATCAGTAAAACAGGGAGCTCAGCCCAAAACAGTTTCCACATGTTTAAAAATATAGCAATAAAGCCCGCTTTGAGTAATAAACAGGTAAAACATGATTGAGAATATGCTTTCAAACAAATAGAGTGAGGATAGATAGTAAAAATGCCCCTAAAGGTCTCAACAAGTCGGCACAAAGCCCCAAACATGGCATACAGCCTAAAATATAAGGACATCAAACAATTAACTATCAAATACGCATTAAAGTACTCGATCGGAAAGGACTAGGTCACATTCCCCAGCGGTGCTCTACCGCACGCTCGTTATCTAGCGTGTAAGTCACCTCCAAGTAACATTACGTTGTGTAATCCGGGGTTTCAAACCCTTAGAACAGCATTTACAATCATTACTTACCTCAAGCCGGCCAACATCCTAGCTTGCTATGCCCTTGCCTCGCAAATCGACCTCCTCGCGCGTCGAATCTGATCAAAACCACAACGAATACGTCACAATATGCTAAGGAGACAATACTCAATCGAAAACAATCGAAAAATATCAGGAATCTCGAAATTAGCAAAATCCGAGCCTCGGGCCCACTTCTCGAAAAATCAGAAAAGTAACATCACCGGATTCCTTATCTCGCAACGAGTCTATACATATCAAAATTACCAAAATCGGAGTCCATTTGACCCCTCAAATTGCACTTTGAAATACCAAATTCCCAAGCCCTAGCTTTACCCTCTTTTGATGAATTTCCACAAATTTTAATGTAAATTCTACCATTAATTCATGTATTTAGGCCAAGGAACTCACCTCCAATCACACCTAGTCGAAATCCCCTTCAAATTCCGTCCAAGAGCTCTCAAGGTCGATCAAAAATGGTGGAAATGAGACTTGGTTCGCGGATGAAATGTCTAATAAAAACCTTCTGCCCAGGCTTATTTTCCTCTATGCGAACGCGAGGGACCTCTCGCGTTCGCGATGAACAAAATCCACCTCTGCCAAAAATACCCTTCGCGAACGCGGTTGCACCCACGTGAACGCGAAGGTCTGGACCCTTAAGCTTACGCGAATGCGAGCCTTGTGCCGCTAACGTGAAGCACAAATGCTGAGGGGGCTCAAATCCTACTACGCGAACGCACAAGACATACCGCGAACGCGATGCTCTAGCCCCCATAACTACGCGATCGCGACCCCTGAGTGCGAACGCGAAGAACAAAGTTCCAACCTCCCCTTTTTCCTCTACGCGATCGCGACACCCCCATCGCGATCGCGATGACCAAATCTCTGCTGCACTGTCTGCTGCATTTTCTGCAACTCCCAAAGGCTAGAATTGGTCCGATTGACCCTTCGAAATCACCCCGAGGCCCCCGGGACCTCAACCAAAAACACCAACACATCCTAAAACATTATTCAAACTTGTTCCAATCATCAAAACACATCTAACAACGCTAAAATCATCAATTCTCATCGAATTCAAGCCTAAGTTTCTCAAAAACTTCCGAAATACGCATTTGATCAAAAACCCGACCAAAACACCTCCGAATAACCTGAAATTTTGCACACACATCCAAAATCACCTAACGAAGCTACAGCAACTCTCGAAATTCCATTCTGACCCTCGGATCAAAATCTCACCAATCAATCGGAATTCGCCAAAATACTAACTTCGCCAATTCAAGCCTAATTCTACACCAGACTTCCAAAACCAATTCCGATCACGCTCTTAAGTTACAAATCACCCAGCGAAGCTAACCAAATCATAAAAACTCCGATCCGAGATTCTATACAAATAAGTCAACTCTTGGTCAAACCTTTCAAATTCAATGCTTTCAACTGAAACTGTTCTTTCAAATTCATTCCCAATTTCCTGAAACCAAAACCAACGATCTACATTAGTCATAATACATAACACGGGGCAAGTCATGCCCGGGAACTAACGATCAAGGTGCAAAAGCTCAAAACGACCGGTCGGGTCGTTACAATTTTGGTGTCAAGATATGACAAGATTTTTCTGCCATGTCAGGGATTTTCCGTTCTGTTCCTGTACATGTAAAAAATTTGGGTATTCATATTTTAAATGAATTGCACATACAAAATAGAAAAACAACGATAAAAACATATTTTATTATTTCATTTATCCCAATTTATGTTGTAATTTTTTTAATGAGTCCCAAGAAGAATATCATACTTATGTAAAATAATTTAACTTTAAACTTTTTATTTTATCCTTATTGAGATGATCTATAATCACATAAATATTTAAAGCTTGTTTTAGACCACAAGTTTTAAAAGTTTTTATTTTTTTCCTAAACGTCATGCCAAATCAAACATTGTTACACAATTTGGGACATATAAAGTATTTTATTTGTAATGTTACATGGTCACTACTCACTACTATTAAGGCACAAGTTTCAAACTTCAAGTTTCAATAAATTAAACTAGCGTTTGGTCATAGATATCCAAATTTATTTTTAAAAAGATTGATTTGGGCGAAGTTTGGTTTGAAGATGGAAATCTATTTGGACATAATTTTTCAAAACATATTTCACTTTTTTTTTTGGCTGAAAAAACGTGAAATGTGACTTATACCCATAAGTTCTAAAAGCTATCAAAATACACAACAATACCAAACAAACAAACTTGTTAATCTTGTATATGCAGAAACTTCGTCGATGCCATTCATTATCATTATTACAAACGATAGTTCTGAACATAGATAAGTATGACACAAAATTATTATTTTTATAATGAACTACATAATACACTATCCTAAAATCATTACCTGTTATTTTAATATCAACTGCTAATAACACAATTACTGGCCACTATAATTCGTCAAATTGCAATAATATTACAAGATCCATCAGTCCAAAAAATGATAGTAATTAGCTGGTAGATTAGTTGGGTCATAATAGATGGTGAGCTTTTTTATAAAATACAAAAGATTGGAGTAATTTTTAAAATTGTTAAAAAAATCAAAAAGCAATATTTTGGGTCAAAAACAGGTCTAGAGCTAGTGTTGGGATTTGAAAATGTTGTTTTCAAAATCTACCAAATCATGGATAAAATCTATAAACAAACATGTTTTGCCAAAAAAATGAATTGAAAAAAAATTGGCAAAAAAAACGGGGTTAAATGATCAGCTGAAAATAATATTCTATGTAGTCCGTGTCTTTGCAACTGTACTGGTTGCCTAGTGATTGTTATTCTAGTAACTAGTAAGTAGTAACAATATATTCTCTCATTCTCATTTTATTTGGAAAGGGAAGACTTTGGACATATAAAATGGAATATATATTTAGTATTTGTGATTTTAAAGGGACAGTGACATTTTTATGGTTGTAAGAGCTTGTCAATAAAAGTAAAATAAATAATTTAAAGTTAAAAAAATAAAAAGATAATGCTACATAAAATGACGCAGACATAATATATCAGAACACATAAAATGAAGGCTGTCATTAAATAAACATACAACGCAAATGCATTACAAGAAATTGCCCAAATAATGATCATGGGCATTTAATGCACATGAGATAAGGAATTAATTATCTACATTAATTAATAAACTTAAAAATTTCACAAAATAGACATAACCCAAACCATCCGCTATGTGGCAGCGGTTTCTTCAAACACTGGCTATTTTTTATAATCATATTGTTCGGATCAGCTTGTTCGCACCTCAATTAATCAGTACCTCCCATCAGCACGAGTACCAAATAACTCTATTTACTTGAGACAGAGCGTATGATATCCTCTTCTCCAACAGTATTTTTATTTCTGGCATTCTTAATGGGATAAGAAGCCTCCATAGCAATTCCACACTTGCCAGAATATGTGTCTTTTACATTACGCTCCATTTTGATGTAGCCATCTTCTCCCCAATTGGAGCCCCATGAGTTCCTCACAATCCAATAGTCTACTCCGTTTTCGCTGCCATAGCCAACTACCACCACACCATGGTCCAATTCTGTTCCGCATTCCCCGCTAAATATGCCCTGATGTTCAAAATATATTTCAAGATTTTAAGTCAGTAAATATGAAGAATCGAAGTATTTACTATTTTGTGATGGCAGTTGCAAACCTATCATAAATATATAGTATCTTTAAAAATTGTTCTCATAGTTCGTGTTTTTATATTCTTTTTTTTTTCGTAATTACAAGAAAAGTTGAGTATCAAGATGTGCATTAAGATTAAGACATCTGAATCTGAATACACATCTGAATATCAAGATGTGCATTAAGATTACGACATCTGAATCTGAATACACATCTGAATGTTAAGATGTATATTAAGATCTGAATACTAAATGATTAAGACTGTTTGTTTTTTAACATCTGAATGTATGAAATTTATCTTTATTTTGAAAATTAATAAACATAAAATTTAAATGAAATGCTAATTAATCTAATATTCTATCAATAAAATATATATTTTTTAAAATATGAAAGTTAGTGATGGTGATGGCTAACGGTGGTGGTTGTGAATGCCGACTAGAGGCGGTGGTTTTGGTTGATTATGGTGGTTTTAAGTAGTAGCTAGTGGTAATTGGTTGTGATGGCGATTTATGGTTGAGAATGGTGGTGGTAGGTGGTAATAACTAATAACGGTAGGTGGTGGTGGTGGTTGTGCTTGTGAGTTGTGATTGAGGAAGGTGGTGGTAGTTTATAACGGTGGCCAGTGCCGACGATGGTTGTTGATAGTGATGGGATGGTTAGTTGTGGTAGTTGAGGTGGATGAGTTTGTGGTTCTGGTTGAGAATGATGGGGTGGGGGTAGTGGGGATTCTAGGTGGTGGTTGTCGATAACGGTGGTGGCTATGATTGAGGTGGTGGTGGTGGTGGTGGAGGTTGAGTATGGTGGTGGTGGGTGGCATGGTAATAGTTGATAATGATAGGCGGTGGTGTCAATTAATAATGAATGTGGATGATAGCATCTTAATGAAATTAAGTCTTTGTTATAGATCTTAATCATACAGACCTATTAAAACTCATTAAGTGGTTGTAGAGTAAAAAAATAAACAAACTTAATGATTAAGATCTGAATGATTAAGATTCAGACTTTAAAAAAACAAACGCACTTAATGTCTGAGATCTGAATAATTAAGATTCAGACCTCCATCAAGTGCAAACAAATGAGGCCTTTCACCTATGATCATTAAACTTTATGTCCGATAATAGCCAAATTAAAAAAATATTTTTTGTCATATCAAAGTTACAAAACTTTACACACTATAAAGTAAAATAAAAACTTTACATACTACAAGGAATAATAAACTAACTGAACTTTTTCTAATATAATAGGAAATGAACTAAGATTTACCTAGTATAATTTATATTTTATAACAATAAATTCTATCATCAAGGTGACTTTATTGTTGTGTGAGGGAAATTGATAACTTATTATAAAAATTGTACAACAGATTATAAGGTCATGAATTACCGAGGAGTAAAGCTGAAAAGCCCTGCTGGAGGCATCAATGGCTACGCTAACAGGTTGATGTGCCACGGCCTTCTGAAGTGATTTTTCATTTGCAGGCACATCTTCATATCCATCTATGCTAACAACCTTTGCATTCTTCTGTAACATTTCAAATAAAACGAGTTTAAATTTGTATATAATATTTACATAATTAGGTCATCTAAAATTATTACTTGGAGGCCTAATAAAAATGGTCACTAACTTGTTATCACAGATTAAACTATACTGGTAAAACGTAAAGTATCTTTATACTTAAAAGGAGCGGCGGAAGGAATTAACCTACCCGAACAAGATCACAAGTGTAATCGATGCCCTTGTAGGGATAGTGAGTATCGGTGTCAATACCACCATTGGAGATGATAAATTCAAAGGCATAGTCCATTAGCCCACCATCACAACCTTCATTGTATATCCTGTCACAATCTACTAATTCTTGCTCAGATAATGTGATCATTTCTCCTGTTACTATCTGGTTTATGCCTTCTACTGCAGCCACTGTTGAGAAAGCCCAGCAGCTCCCTGTAAATACAATCCACTATCAAGCCACTTTCTTTCAAAGGTCTATGTACGATGCTAGGAATCTATATATGATGCTAAGCTGTTAGAGAGATATATCCCATTTTTATTATATTTTGCCCACACCTTCTTACGTGAGGGCTTGATTCTTTTTGATGATGAGAGGCGGTCATGAGACTCGAGCTCAGGACTATCTCTATTTGCTCTGATACTATGTTGAAGCGTATGATCATTTCAACTAAAAGTTTAAATTTTTGCGAGCGCATAATTTTATATACTTAATTATGTCTTCAACAATAATTTATCATGCATCTGTCACCCTCACTTCTAATAGTGGATGCTAATTCAAAGAAAATGAAACAAGAGGTACCACAACTTCCTGAGTCCTTAATGAGAGCAACAACTACGATATTGGGGAAGCAAGCTAACTGAATACTTATCTACTGCTAGTTTTATTCGACTATAAATGTATGTAACAAATGCACCTTTACGTATAAAGAGGTTACATCCTACACTTATAACAAGTAAGAATATTGATTAGAATAATAAGAAGTAGGAATACTCATTCAAAGAAAAATGAGAAGAAGAGGTACCACAACTTCCTTGGTCCTTAATAGGAGCAACTGCGCCTTTCTTCCTCCAATCAACAGATTCTGGTAGATGCTCGTTAGCCCGAAAAACATAACGATGGCTAGCATTCTTGGACTTGACAAGGCGGCGTCTAGCATCACTCCTCGTACCCAAAAACATGGCCCTGTATTCCTCATTAGTGAGATCAGCAAACCGGTTCAATCCTAGCTCGTACGTGCGATTCTTGGAGTTATTATGTTCTTTGATGAACCTCACATTATCTTTAAAAATCTCAAATCTTTTCCCCTTTTCTCGTAGCCCATTATACGCTTTCCCATGCTCCGCCAACCATATTTCATATATACCCTTTACCTCCTCATCGCTAAATTTCCCGATGTTGTTATTGTTGTAGGTCGTGATTGACATGTCAATCGCATTGGATGAGGACGCGAAGAAGATGAGGAGAAGAGTGGTTACTACGATTATAGACATAGATGAAAGCGCAAAAAAAAAGGCCTGTAGGAGACTAGTAAAGAATGTAAGAGGCTTGACGAGTATAAGTGAAGAGCCAATTTTTTAGCTTATAAAGATGAAAAACTGGAATAGTGGATATTTATTATATTATCTTTGGCCAATTTATGAATACTGTAAGGAAAACACTTGCATTATTTTTGTCAATTGGGTCTGTTTACATAGGGACAAAATCCCAAGGAATTAATCAAGGGGCATAGCTAGCTAGCCTGCCAACTGATTTTCTAAGAATTAATGAACTGTCAAACTGCCAAACTACCTTTCTTAACCAGTTTTGAACTGTTTGGGATTGTATAACTTGTAAATTATTTCAACCATTTTTTTCTAACTTCAACCATGCAAAGAGGCTATGTAAAAAAGATCACTTAGGTAAATGGAAAATCTAGAGTTAATAGATTCAATAAAATGGATGTATTTTATTATATGAATACATTTTAAATTTTCTTGGTATACATAATACGAGTCTACAATATAACTAATTCAAATTTATTCACAGAACTCAACCTGGATTTAACTATAAACTTAACATATGTCATTTTCTTTTTTGTTTCCATTTGGTGTCCGATACCTGTTTTGAGTTCCTTAACTCGAATTCGGCCCGTGTTAGATCCATAAAGGGGGAAGTGCATGTCCCTACCAGATTTTTTTTAAGGATCGAACTTAAGACCTACCGTAAAAATATTTTATCCATCTCATCATTAAGCACTGTTAGTAATATATGAGAATCTGAGATGGGGAAGTAACGGTATATCAGCCTGTCTCGATACCTCGGCTGGATCAGGTTTAGGAGTATAATTTTCTGCAACCAATTTTTTTTTAAAATCGTCCTAGGGAAGTAGCTTAGATTTATGGGTTTCAGTGATGTCAGTCTTTGTTAATATGGCTCGATCTCATAGCCAATAGGATGTTGGCGTTCGTTTAAAGCCTGTTGGAAGAAAAATAAAACTCACGATTTTAGTATTGGACCTTTAAAAATTTCTTTAAATGGTAGTGGACTCTCATGATTGATTCATAACAAACGATTTGGAAGTGATGATTGAGGTAGATGCAAGAAATAACGCCTACCAGAAAGAGTTTCATCTCTCTTTCTTTCCAACTAGTGTTAGAACACGCGCATAATTTGTAAGAATATTTATTTTATAAAATTATGATGTAATTGATGATAAGCTAGGAATTCATGGTTTTAACTATATTTCGCAGTACTCTAACACTTTAATTGTATTTGAGCCTAATTGTTAGTAACTTGTACTTATTACGTGTGTTATGTTGTGTAGGTGTGATTTCGAGTGAAGAAGTAAGTTTGGAGCTAATATGGATGATTTAGAGCTTTGAAGTCTGAGTAGAAGCCCAAGAAATTAAGTCCGCATGTTCGGGGTCCAGGACCAAGTCTAAATGTCAAAAAGTAAGAAAAAAAGGTTACTATGAGAAAAATGCACTACCGCACCACGGGGCACAAAGTGCTAGTGCAAAATTCCTGGAGAGTGGAAAATACCTGCTCTCTGAACTTTCCCATTCGCGCGACGCATGGCGCGCCGTGCCTGTGTAATTTTCTTAGAGTGATTTCCCGCTTCAGCTTGGAAAGGGTAGTTCCATCCGGACCCGCTTCTACATGGTATAGATACATCAAAAATACGTTTTTGAATAGACTTTTGACCTACCGAAGATTGGAAGAGCATTGGAGACTCAAAGCACAAGGATTCATCATTCTTTCCTCAACTCAACACCCAAGTTTGAATTAAATTCATGTTTTCTTATTCTTTAACTCTATTTGTGATGACTTTCTCCATGATTATGAAGTATTTACATTAGGGTTTGACGGATATGGTGCTTGATTGATATTGGTGGATTTTAACTCTAGTTCTTTACATGAATTCATTTATGGAGCTTTGAATTGATTGCAATTTTGTTCACCGAATTATTTAATCGGAAGAAGAATATTTTGGGTGATTATGTTTGCATTATCTTGTTTGGTTTAAGTCAGTGATTATTCTAAGTAATTGAAAGAGCTTGTTGACTTATTGATTAAATCAAGTTCGAAGAATACTCGAGAGACGTTTTCCTAAAGACTAGTCCATTAACGTTTTCTTTCATATCTTCACAGTGCTTTATATTAGTTTACCTCGTTGATTTCAGATTTAATTGAGAGAGGAGTCTTAGCTATACGATTGAACTAATCTGTAATGACCCGGCCGATTGTTTTGAGTATTTTAGCCATGATTCCCTATTTATTGCCTCCTCTATGTTGCATTATGATTATGTGACTTGCCGGGGGTGTTTGGCTTTGGTTCGGCTGAGTTTAGGAGTGAATGGGACACATATTCCCTAAGTTGGAAGCTTAAGTTGAAAGAGTTGACCGTAGTTTGACTTTTGTGTAGACGACTCCAGAATGGATTTTTGACTGTTTGAATAGCTCCTTATGGTGATTTTAGACTTAGGAGCGTGTCTGGATGTTGATTTGGAGGTCTGTAGGTCGTTTCAGCTTGAATTGGCATAAGCTAGAAAGTTGAAGGTTTGGAAGGTTGAGAAGTTTGACCGAAAGTTGACTTTATTGATATCAGGGTCGGATTCCAATTTTGGAAGTTGAAATAGATCCGTCATCTCATTTATGACTTGTGTGCAAAATTTGAGGTCAAACGGAGTTGATTTGGTATGTTTCGGCGTTAGTTTTGAAAGTCGAATGTTCATAGTTTCAATAGGCTTGAATTGGGTTGTGATTCGTTGAATCGATATTGTTTGATGTGATTTTTGGCCTCGAGTAGGTCCGTTACGTGTTTTGGAACTTGATAGTATATTCGGACGAGGTCCGGGGGGCCCCGGGTGTGATTCGGATTGAATCCGGAACAATTTTGGACTTTATGCTTTGCTGAATCTCTGTTGTGTCTGGTGCGATCGCACCTGCACATTTTGGGAGAGGCGGTGCCGAGCTGTAAAAGCGAGATTGAACCTGCCCAGTTGGGACCGCAGGTGGGGGCAGAGTTCCGCGAAGCGGACTTGCTGGTGCGAGAGAGAAAGCGCAGAAGCGGAAAAGGCTGGACAGGCCTGGGGGTCGCAGAAGCGGCCGCAGGTGCGTTATAGCAGGTGAGCTATTTGGGTCTGCAGAAGCGGAAAGTCATGGCTTAAGTTGTAACCGCACATGCGATGGATTTCCCGCATGTGCGGCGTCACATATGTGACCCTATGCCCGCAGACGTGAATTCACTAGGTAGAAATTGAGGGCTTCGAGGGTTTATTCTCATTTTTCATTTTTGGACCTAGAGAGCTTGGTTTGAGGGTTCTTCAAGGAAATCATTGGAGTAAATAATTCTAACCCGGATTTGACCATATTACACGAATCCATTGTTATTTTCATCATTTAAATAGTGATTTGAGTTCGAAATTTGGAGAAAATTTGTGAAAAATTTTTAGACTAAATTTTAGGGATTTGAAAGGCGATTTGAGGTCGGATTTGAGTAATTCTTATATGGTTGGATTCGTTATCGAATGGGCGTACGTATTTTCTAATTTTGGTCGGTTTCCTAGACGCGAGCCCCGGGGTTGACTTTTTTAGTTGACTTTGTATTTCTCTTTAAAGATTGCAACTTTATTGTTTGGAATAGCTTCCTATAGTTTATATTTATGGTATGGAGTTGTTTTGGCTAGATTCGAGTCGTTCGGAGTTAGATAATGGAGGGAAAGGCTTACTAGTGGATTGAGTTAGCATGATTTGAGATAAGTGTCTTGCCTAACTTTGTGTGGGGGATTTACCCCTTTAGGATTGGTGTTGTTTTGTGTTAATTGTGATACGTGGAATCCATGTACGCAAGGTACGAGTATGTACACGGGCTAAATATGGTAACTGACCAGTTTTAGCTATGTAGATTTCTTTCATGCCTTTAATTGAGTTACCATAACATGTTATATTCAGCATTATTAGTCTATCTTCACATGCTCTACTTGTCTTATCTCTTACTTGTTAATTGTCTTTACGTGTTTAGTTGAAGTTATTGTTTCCTCTATTCCTTATTCATTATTTAACTGTTGAGTTCCTTACTTAAAGTTTTTATTCTTGGAATATCTTGTTGTTGAAATTGGTATTGAGTTATAAGGGTCATAATTCACATTGAGGCAAAGTTGCAAAGTATTGAAATTCTATTCTTGTTGAGTATTCACTTTCGGTTGTTATTGTGAGACTCTTATGCATATTGTGGTTGAGCCATAGGCTATTTATTGTGGAAACACCATTATTGTTCACTTCTTTGGCAATTTGTGATGTTGGGCACTTGAGGTGCGGTTTGTGATATGTTGTGATAATGACACGTATGCAGTGGTAAAAGGTTCGGGGTTGAAACGCATGCGGTAAGATAAGGTGCTCTTGATACGCGTGTTGCTAGTAGGGGAACTACTTGAAGCCACGCGGTGTGATAAGGTGGGCTAAAATGCGAGAAGCTATTTCGGGAAAATGATTTTCAAAACTAAATGCAAGGCTCCCGCGATGATAAGAAAAGACTGTGAATTGTTTTGTGATTTGAGACTACGAAGCGGTACCTCGGTAGTGATGCTTGCTGATATTTTTCTATTACTTCACTTGTGTTTTGGTTGCTTGTTTCCTTGGCATATCATTCCATGTTTTCTCTCGTGATGCATTATTGCCTTAGTTCAATGTAGCTAATCTTGGTATATTTCTTTAATGTTTCATTTATCATTATTACACTGTTATTTACCTGTTCAGTTTTCTTATTTATTCCAATAGGACCTTGACATGATCTCGTCACTACTCTACTGAGGTTAGTCTTGCCACTTATTGGGTACCGTTGTGGTGTACTCATGCTACTCTTCTACACATCTTTTTGTGCAAATCCATGTACCTTCTACCATTCCAGGCACCAGTGAGACGAGCTTAGCTTCGGAGACTTCAAGGTATACTTGTCGGTGTCCGCAGGCCTCGGAGTTACCCTCTATCTAGTCTACTTCATTTTCTTTCC